AACTTAAAACACATCCTACCACCACTGTGAATCTCTCAAACCTATTTGCATCTTAGGTGTCTTCTTTTTTTCCCCATTTTGCCATTTCCTTCAAGAATACCTGATGTGCTGATCTAATTGTAGAACAGCAGTCTCATTAATGTGCAATAGTGATTTGGAAACCTGCTTCAGATAACTATTTTCAGCAAATTACTGTGTGAATAAACCTCATAAAAACCCATCAAGGATATTGGAAAATATACAAGGAAGCACAATTCCAAGTGACAACTAATGTGCAAGCTGCTCATCCCGATTTACTTTCTTCGTTCTGGCCCCTGACACCAAGCATTCCTGGGAGAAGGATACCTAGGATTTCTTCAAATCTTTGTCTGTAAACAAAATAGTCACATTCATTTTTGCTTTTACTTCCCTTGTCTTTGAGGTCAAATTCATAAAGTTCTTAGACCAAAGTCTATAAATTTAGTACTTACGTTTTCTTCCATGTAATTTATTGTTTCAGGTCTTATATTTAGGTCTTTGATCCAATAGATTATAACAAAATGCTCAAGTTCACTAGCTATTAGGGAAATGCAAATCAAACTATAATAAGATCCCATCTCTGACCTGTTAGAATAGCTAATATCAATAAGACAAGTAATAACAAGTGTTAGAGAGGTTGTAGAGATAAAGGAACCCTCATTCACTGCTGGTGGGAATGTAAGCTGGTATAGCCACTTTAGAAAAGAGTATGGAGGTTCCTCAAAAAATTAAGAATAGAGTTATATGACCCAGCAACCTCTCTTCTGATATCTTCCCAAAATTTTTTAAAATATTTATTCCTAAGGATACAGGGGTGGGCAAAGTAGGTTTACAGTTGTTTGTATGAAAAAATATAATACAAGAATAAATAATAAAACAAGAATAAACTCTGTGTTTTGCACACTTACAACTATAAACCTATTTTTAACAATTCCTGTACACAGACCCCTATGATCATTGCAGCATTATTCACAGTGCCCTAGACATGAAAATAACCAAAATGTTCTTCAATAGATGATTGGATAAAGAAGATGCGGTACATATGTACAATGTAATATTACTCAGCCATAAGAAGATATCAAAAACTATTTGTGCCGAAACCGGTTTGGCTCAGTGGATAGAGCGTCGGCCTGCGGACTGAAGGGTCCCGGGTTCGATTCCGGTCAAGGGCATGTACGTGGGTTGCGGGCACATCCCCAGTGGGAGATGTGCAGGAGGCAGCTGATCGATGTTTCTCTCTCATCGATGTTTCTAACTCTCTATCTCTCTCCCTTCCTCTTTTTAAAAAATCAAAAAAAAATATTTAAAAAAAAAAAAAAAAAAAAAACTATTTGTGACAATATGGATGGATCTTGAGAATATCATACTAAGTGAAATAAATCAGATGGAAAATGTCAAAAACCATATGATTTCATTCACAAGTGAAATATAAAACTGAAAACAGTAAATGAACAAACAAGACAAACAAACAAATAAAAACTCATAGACACAGACAACAGCATGGTGATTACCAGAGGGGAAGGGGAATGAGGGAACAGTAGTAAAAGGTAAAGGGGGTCAAATATATGGTGACAGAAGGAGATTTTACTTCAGGTGGTGAACATACAACCAATATACAGATGATGTATTATGGAATTGTATACTTATTAACCAATGTCACCTCAGTAAATTTAATTTAAAATAAAAATGAGAAATAAAATGAAAGCAAAACTAAAAAATAAAATAAAAACACCATAGAAGTATTTGAAGCTAGCTCCTACTCAAGAAGAGATTAAATCTTACATAGATGCCCTCAATATTTTGTTTTCTATTAAGATGCTTATTCATCTATAGAGCTGATTTTTCTGTTTCTTAAATATTCTTAATTTTCCTGTTCCCTCACAAATCAATCACTCAATCAAGAATCAGAGATCCTGAGATGACTAAGATCAGAGGTAATCTAGTTCCAGTTGGTTATAAATCATTTCTGTAATATGCAGGACAGCCTCGGTTTAAATATTTCCTATTATGGGGTATCTCTGTTGATAAATAGCTCTAGTCATTTGAAAATTTTTTAAAATTATCAATTTTTACTGAATGTTTACTAGCTGCCAGACCCTCCATTAATCCTCATAATAAAACATTAAGGAAAGAGTCACTGTGCCCATTTTAACACATTGCAGACAGATCACGAGAATTCTTGCTTCATATTACACAGTGTTTTACAAAGTATCATACTTTAAAAAGATATTAGCTTGTAAGAATGTGTAATAAATAACTTCAAAATGCAATGGGTATTTAATTTTAAAGTGTGCCTTTAACATTTATGTAAAACTCGTTCAATAGAAACTTATCTGGCCACTGGGTAAAGCTAGAAATAAAACTACTGGTCCACAAGGTGTTAATATGAGAACATCAAGACTCTCAGGGGTTAAGCAACTTGCCTGAAGGCACACAGCTGTCAACTGACAGAACTCAAACTCAGGCCTCAAAACTTTTACCCTCAGGCTTCAAAATTTTTAAGCTCATTCCTCAAAGCTTTTATGCACAGACCCTAATTTGTGATCTCTGTGCTCCCTCTTCTCTAATACAGATCTACAAGTATTTGAAAAGTATCCAAGAAGCACTTGGCAGAGTGCAGGGCTTCCCCCAAAGCCTTCCTAGGCAGAATGGACAAGAATCTGAGCTGACTGAGTCCAGGCCCTGTAGGTGAGGTTACCTAAGAGTAAGAAGGGAAGGCCAGGTCTCTGGTCTCCCAGCCCAAATAATACAAACTCCTGCACTTCACTGCCACCTCATCTCTTCCATCTTATTCTGCCCTTATTCTCTAACCAGCCGTGGGCAAACTACGGCCCGCCGGCCGGATCCGGCCCATTTGAAATGAATAAAACTAAAAAAAAAGACCGTACCCTTTTATGTAATGATGTTTACTTTGAATTTATATTAGTTCACACAAACACTCCATCCATGCTTTTGTTCCAGCCCTCCCGTCCAGTTTAAGAACCCATTGTGGCCCTCGAGTCAAAAAGTTTGCCCACCCCTGCAACCTCATAATGTTATCTATGGTCTATCCCAGTCGTTGCAAACTCATTAGTCAACAGAGCCAAATATCAACAGTACAACGCCTGAAATTTCTTTTGAGAGCCAAATTTTTAAACTTAAACTATACAGGTAGGTACATTGTTATTAACCTCCCTATACAGTTTAAGTACTGTCGATATTTGGCGCCTCCCCCACGCTGCATATCCCACAGCCTGCCTGCTCCACATCTTCCCTCGCCGACCACCGACACCCCCACTTCTTCTAACGCCACTTCTTCAAAATAGACTCACCCAGGCCGAAAACCGACTAGTGCGCATGGGCCACGAAGTTTTAATCCCACTGTACATGCGCGCCCACACGTGGTATTTTGAGGAAGAGCCACACTCAAGGGGCCAAAGAGCCACATGTGGCTCGCGAGCCGCGGTTTGCCGACCACTGGTCTATCAACATTTCTCAGTCACCAAGAAGGGCTGCTCTTCTCCATTCTGCTGTAGGAAGCCCTGTGACCAACGCTGAACCCAGACCCACTGGCCTCTTACACCACAGAGCAAATGTCCTACAGAAGCTGAGTGGGGATTTAGTGGGATATAGGGGCAGAGTGCACTTTGCAATATGCATCACTTCCACTCCAGTTACTGCTTATGCGATCAGCCCCTGCTCAAATCTCAACTGAGTTCCCAGAAAGGATTTATACTCTGAAAAAAATATGTTTTAAATTAAATTCAAATGGCGACTTTTTAAATATTTTGTGATATAAAAATGCTTCTAAGCCATTTTAATTACTGGTTGTTGATAAATGACTTATCACTCTGAAACATGCTATTTTTTAGATCCAGGTATTCAAGTATTGTTCACTGTATAAAAATCCTTATCTCTATCTATTTTTAGATGACTTCAAACCTGCTTCTAATGACACTTCTTATGAAGGAAAGCTTGAGATTGACAAAGGTGAATAGGTGACAGTAACTCTACCAAGTATAAAAATGAGGAATGATTTTGCAAGATTTCCAATAAATTAATTTGTTTCTTTACTATATTTGTGACTTGGTTGACTAAGAGTTGGGGTTTTGTTTTGTTTTTATTTAAGTATGGAAGACATTATAAAACTCACAGCTCACTCCACCTGGTTTGGCTCAGTGGATATAGCGTTGGCTTGCAGACTAAAGGGTCCTTGGTTCAATTCCAGTCAAGGACACATGCCTGGGTTTTGGGCTCGAACCCCAGTAGGGAGCGTGCAGGAGGCAGCCTATAAATAATTCTTTCTCATCACTGATGTTTCTATCTCTCTCTCCCTCTCCTTTCCTCTCTGAAATAAAAATTTAAAATTAAAAAATCACAGCTCTGAAATTAAGTTTAGAAATAATCATTTTTATTAAGCAATGGTCCTGAAGAGAAGAGCTGGAAAGAACTTTCTTAAGTACCTATATATAGAATTTAATCAGAGATCCCGTCTTCCAACTTATCCTCAATTAGGTGGCACTGTCAACATTGAGAGCCTCTTAAGTATTTTTATAGTGTGTTTTATTGTATTTATGATGTATCTGTTGAATTTAGGCATTATTCTAAATGCAATATGAACAAAAAAGGATAATACATTGGCTTTATTCTTAAATAGTTCGGAACACAAACAGCACTCATATATGACATGCATCAAACATTGGCGGGCCAATTAAAAAGCAACATACCAATAAAGACGAAATGACGAAGTACAAATTGAACAGCAAAGTGCTGACAAGAAAGATCTCCAAAAACAGAAACCATTACAAAATTAAGTGTGAGAGATTAAGTTCTTCTAGAGTTGAGTGTCGAAGATAAGTCTGGAGGGTACTATGAGGAAGACAGTAAGGGTATCCCTACAGGAATATGTAAATGCCTATGTAAATGAGTGTGTAAATAAGGTTAAAGGAGAGGAGAGTGGTTTTTAAGAGAGCCTGTAAATAAAATGTTGGATTCTTTTCTACCTGAATTTACCAGTTGTTGTTCCATCACTCCACAGCCAAGAACTTCTAGCCATTCTCCATGGTAGTTGATCTCCATCTCAAAGGAAGGGTGAGTAAAAGGAAAGTAGCACTCTACCCATCTAATGTCCAGACCTGCAAAGATACCAAATAAAAACAGTGTTAAAAGGCAGTCTGCCTATTCTTGGGATCAGGTTTATCCTTTGGCTAATGACACCAATTTCTACATTCTAAGTAAAACAAATAGCAAACAAATTAATTTGCAACATGTTAGGGGGAGGCAATAAATCTTAAAACTTGTAAAAAACTGGGTATGTCTTTTCCAATATGAAAAACACTTTGTGCAGTTCCAGGACTCTCTAAAGCCAAATCAATCTCCTGTCAAATCCGTGCAAGTACCTGGCAGATGAAAAAATTAGGTCAAGATCATGGGAAAGCAGGTAATTCTACTAGTTTCTATAAATGTAAATGGCATCTTTTCAGAGTTAAAGTAAAAATATTTTACTGTACTGCCCTTCAAACTTGCAGTACATGGCCAATTTAGAGTAAACCAATTAATTTTCATTTCCATAATTTTTAAATTAAAGTTTATGAGCTAATAAAAGTTAAAATAAGATCAGCTGAATTTAAGCAAAACATTTAAAAAGTCAAAACTTTTTTTTACAGATGACTGCTAAACATACTTCTAAAGAAACAAAGTACATGCTAAATGGCAGAATGAATTTCTCAATAAGCAATCATATATATGGTACTTAAAACAATGATATTATCTAACAAAGGAAAAGACTAATGAATTCAAAGCAAAGCCTGCAAAGCACAGAGATTACTAAAAGCAGATAAATCAGATGAGAAGATGCCTAATGTGAAAAACACACACAAAAGTGGGCAAATCACCTATGGTCTAGAGCAGTGATGGCGAACCTATGACACGTCAGAGGTGACACGCGAACTCATTTTTTTGGTTGATTTTTCTTTGTTAAATGGCATTTAAATATATAAAATAAATATCAAAAATATAAATCTTTGTTTTACTATGGTTGCAAATATCAAAATATTTCTATATGTGACACAGCACCAGAGTTAAGTTAGGGTTTTTCAAAATGCTGACACACTGAGCTCAAAAGGTTCACCATCACTGGTCTAGAGTCTATTCTAGACCCTATGCTCCTTTGACTCTGGGTCATGATCTTTCTCTTCTTTGAGGCAACATTCCTGATTATGTTTCTCCATGATAACACGCCCCTCTGTGAATTTAAAATACTGTCTTTTCTCATCCAAGAATATTTGCATTTAAAACCTAGTGGGAATCAGAATGTGAAATAAATAAAAATAATAAAACTTGCTTCCATTTACTGAGCATTTACTATGCCTACCTCTATCATCTCATTTCATAAATAGGGAGAAAAACTATTAGAAAGGTTAGTGTCTTGCCCAAAGGTACACAGCTAGCAAATGACTAAGCTAAACGCAGGTCTGCCTGACTCCAAAACTCCTACTCTTGACAATTAAAACATTTCCCGGCCCATCAAAAAAGATGTTTCAAGAATTGAAAATCCAATGAGAAGGGAATTATGAGACAAGGGGATCTTTCCTATGCCCCGAATTACATAGAAGAAGGTAGATTTTCCTTTCACTGTTCTGTTTTAGATGTATTTATTTTCTAGTTCCCTGCTATCTGAAGCAAGTGAATAAATGACTTCTGTTTAGAATACTAATACAGTATTTCCCCCTTTATTATACATCCTATCTAATACAAGAGAAACATGGTAATTGGCGTACGACCGCTACCCTTTCCATTGGCTAATCAGCGAGCTATGCAAATTACATGCCAGCCAAGATGGCGGCTGGCAGACAGGGAGCTTGAAACTAACATGAGGCTTGCTTGCTTCAATGAGGAGGACTCCAATGTTCCCCGCCTGCCTTGCCGGCCTCTGAGCCTTCAGTTTAACAAACATTGTAACAAATATAGAAACTTGCTTTCAGCGAGCTGGGATCTCAGAGCTGGAGTTGATACAGAGTTTCGATTATAGAACCGAAACAAACCAGATACCTGCTTTCAGGAGCTGAGGCCTAAGAGCTGGAGCCTCAGAGCTAAAGCTGGCCCAGAATAAAAAAAAAAAAGAAAGAAAAAAAGGAGCGGTTGGGAGCTTCCGTCACCCCCAGCCTGACAACAGCCCTCAGCCCCTCACCCAGACTGGCCAGGCACCCCAGTGGGGACCCCCACCCTGAAGGAGGTGTGACCAGCTGCAAACAGCCATCATCCCCTCACCCAGGCTGGCCAGGCACCCCAGTGGGGACCCCCACCCTGATCCAGGACACCCTTCAGGGCAAACCAGCCGGCCCCCACACGTGCACCAGGCCTCTATTCTATATAGTAAAAGGGTAATATGCCTCCCAGCACCAGGATCAGCAGAGCCGCGAGGCCTCCCGGCACCGGGATCAGCGTGACAGGGGGCAGTGCCCAAACCCCCTGATTGCCCTGTGGCTCTGTGTGTGAGAGGGGGTGGGGCCACAACCTCGCTATCGGCCCTGCTCTGTTTGTGACAGGGGAAGGTGCCTCAACCCCCTAATCAGCCCTGCTCTGTGCCTGATAGGGGGGAGCTCCCCAACCCCCTGATCGCCCTGCAGCTCTGTGTGTGACAGGGTGCGGTGCCCCAACCCCCTGATCGGCCCTGCTCTGTGTGTGACAGGGTATGGCACCCCAACCCCCTGATCAGCCCTGCTCTGTGGGTGATAGAGGGCGACGCCCCAACCGCCCCCCATGGGCCCTGCTCTGTGTGTGATGGGGTAGAGCCATAACCTCCCCATCGGCCCTGCCCTGAGTGTGAGTGTGGTGGCATCCCAACCCCCTGATCGGCCCTGCTCTGTGGGTGATAGAGGGTGGTACCCCAACCCCCTGATCCGCTCTGCTCTGTGTGTGACAGGGGGCGGTGCCCCAACTCCCCTATCAGCCCTACTCTGTGACAGGGGGGAGCTCCCCAACCCCCTGATCGGCTCTGCTCTGTGCATGACAGGGGGGAGCTCCCCAACCCCCTGATCGACCCTGCTCTGTGCATGACAGGGTACGGAGCCCCAACCCCCCTGATGGGCCCTGCTCTGTGCGTGACAGGGGGTGGCGCCGCAACCTCCCCATCGACCCTGCCTTGAATGTGACAGGGGGCAGTGCCCCAACCCCCTGATCGGCCCTGCTCTGTGTGTGACAGGGTATGGCACCCCAACCCCCTGATCAGCCCTGCTCTGTGGGTGATAGAGGGCGACGCCCCAACCGCCCCCCACGGGCCCTGCTCTGTGTGTGATGGGGTAGAGCCATAACCTCCCCATCGGCCCTGCCCTGAGTGTGACAGGGTGTGGCACCCCAACCCCCTGATCCGCTCTGCTCTGTGTGTGACAGGGGGCGGTGCCCCAACTCCCCTATCAGCCCTACTCTGTGACAGGGGGGAGCTCCCCAACCCCCTGATCGGCTCTGCTCTGTGCATGACAGGGGGGAGCTCCCCAACCCCCTGATCGACCCTGCTCTGTGCATGACAGGGTACGGAGCCCCAACCCCCCTGATGGGCCCTGCTCTGTGCGTGACAGGGGGTGGCGCCGCAACCTCCCCATCGACCCTGCCTTGAATGTGACAGGGAGCGGTGCCCCAACCCTCCAATCAGCCCTACCCTGAGCGTGGCTGAGGGTGGCATCGCAACCTCCCGATCCGCCCTGCTCTGTGCATGACAGGGGGCGGCGCCCCAACTCCCCAATCAGCCCTGCTCTGAGCCGAGCAGGAGCTGCACCTAGGGATTGGGCCTGCCCTCTGCCACCCGGGAGCAGGCCTAAGCCAGCAGGCTGTTATCTCCGGAGGGGTCCCAGACTGCGAGAGGGCACAGGCCGGGCTGAGGGACCCCCTCTTCCCCCCGAGTGCACAAATTTTTGTGCACCAGGCCTCTAGTGTAGTATAATAGACAAATATTAAACTGCACATTTTGTGTATAATTTGACATATGTTGACATATGTAAACATCTATGAAACTGTCATCACAATAAATACAATGAACATATATCCATCACCCCCAAAAGGTTCCTCATGTCCTTTTGTAATTCTATCTGACCATCGCCCCTGCCTTTCTTTTCTCTTCACCCCCACTTTCCCCAGCAACCACTGATCTCTTTTCTGTCACTATAGAGGAGAAAAGTGGAATCATATAGAATATACTCTTTTTTATCTGGCTTTGTTCACCCAATATAATTATCTTAAGAATCACCTAGGTTGCTGTACATATCAATAGCTCATTTCTTTTCATTACTGAGTGGATTTTGCCAACATTTTTTCTAACTGGGAAAAAAAAGCTGGTCCTAGTGCAAGCCATTGGGAAAATGTCTACAAATCCCCTGAGTAGTCCACACTTTTCTATAAGAAGCTCCTATATGCAGACCAACTGCTTATTCCCAATTGAATTCTGGGAAGAAGATGTTTGTATACCTGTGTGATTGTCCATCTTTGGGACAAATAATCCCCTACCAATATTCTTTTTCTTTTCCTCAAAGATTTCCTTTTGTTAACATATTTTTATTTTTTATATATTTTTTATTAATTTTGGAGAGAGAGGAAGGGAGAAGGAGAGAGAGAAACATCGATGGGAAACATCTATCAGCTGTCCTCTGCACACTCCATACTGGGGAACAAGCCAGCAATCCTGACCAGAAATTGAACCTGTGACCTCTTGGTGTAAGGGTCGAAGTTCAACCACTCAGCGACACTGGCTGGGCCCAATATTCTTATTAAAAAGCTCCAGAGACAATTCTGCTGGCAAACAGAAATGTGTGAAGCATTGGGTTATATAACTCAGAAGGCCTGTCAGGAAAAACAATTTTTGTCATTCTTTTTGGAACTCTTGGTAGATAAGCACAAATCACCTTCTGAAAACAATTTAAAAAAATTAATTTTGGGTACGTGGCTTTGTATACTTAGCTCAAATTTTACCAAAAGAAAGAAGGGTTAATATGATGATTTCATCATCATATAATTAAATGTCACCTATGTACCTGAGGTCAACACAAATAAATTTTATTTATATGCCCTTATTTTATTCCTTTGGACAGTTTAAATAAATAGCACAGTTTTTATAGCTTTATATCACACCTATAAAATCTTAAGT